ACCTTAGGATGGTCCTAAGATTTAGCACTTTTGGTACTAAATCTGAAGGACCTTTGGAAATGCAAATTAAGGAATATTGTACGTCAAAAAAACTGTCACTTGTTAATTACTTAATTATTACAATATTTAAATCATTCAACGAGCTAATAATTACTATAATCATTTTTCACGGTACCTCATTTCAATCCTTGAGTTATTGTTACCATAGTTAACACAAATTATGACAGAGTCGCAGATGACTTTGGTGACGATAATTGTGTCGCATAAATTTTTGATATATTTTTAACATTGATTCAATTCACAATCTATTTAATAACTTGCTACAGAATAAAACATTAAAGTTATTGCAAATTTAAAGTCTGCATAATGACACAAAGACATTTGGAGAAAGTAAAACAATCATCCATAATAATAATAGTAATAAGGAGGATAACCGAAGTATGGATTATAATAACCATATTGAGAAGGATATGGGAAGTTTCTGTTAGACACTGACCCCAGAAAGAAACCCGCAAGAATAGTTTGAAATGCATTTAACCCTTAGCTAGAGGGAGTTTGAGGAGGTTGGTTAGGTTGACTTGAGCGTCGATCACTTCCATCAAAAGTGACTGTCCATATTGCATTGCTATTGTTGTTCAATGATTAAATTTAAAATATATTCTTACTGGGAAAATTGATTCCTAAATAAACACTAATGCTTAGTATATTATTATAGTATATTACACTTCAAATTTTTATGCTAATTAAAGGTATGAAACTTACGTTAAACCTACGTTACTAATACCGTGTTGTTATTGAATGAACCAAGATTTAAAACGAACCCCATAAATATAAACATCCAAATATTTATGTTGAATATCTATGCAACGTTGGAGGGACCAAATATTTAAACAGTTATGTAACAAAATATTTATATTTATGTAATATTTATGGAAATATTTATGTATTTATGCACTTACGTAAAATTGACAACAGTATACTTTCTGCTTTTGACAAAAAAAAAGAGAAAAATGCTAATTCTAAGGGGTGGTTAGTCGATTTTCTTAATAAAGTTTATGTTTCAACTGAATTCGGCTACGATTTCCTTATTTCTGAAACTTCCTCTTCCATTACAAAAAGAAAATCGAACAAGGAACAATTAGAAACAATAAAGTGCGGAATTGTGTGACTAACTGTTTGTGTTTACATGGTTGATTTTAAAAGGTAAAAGATTCATCGACAAAAATGAACTGAGAAGATGAAGTGTAAGTATTCCATCTTTCTAGAAAAGCAACATTCCATCGTGGTTTCACATAGGAGGGAAGTTGGCTCCAATGTGCTTGTTCTCTACCATATGTACAACGTCATCGACGTCACCACCGCAAGGGCTGTTGTTGCTCATCGATCTGACTTTCTTCATCAACCGTATGTCTCTGTGTGCTCCCTCTGTATAATTGAAGAGATTATGGTGGCCAAACATATGAGACTGTTTTCTTTTACGTTACCGTAATAATTAGTTGTTATGTTGATTTCATCCCCTTCTCATCGATGATTCGTTTTATAGCAATGTTAAGTGATGATCCAAAGATTGGATGACCATTTATACTACTTGTCTGTGCCTGGCAATATCCAAGGAATCCTTTCATCAAGTGACATTCGATAAGTAATTATATTAGAGTTGCGCACAAACTGAATCACTTTTATTCTATTTCAAATAGGAAAATTCTCGAAAGATCAATATATAATCCATCCTCTGGAAACTAACGATGAAGGGAACTTCGAAATTTAATCAAGAACTCTAAAGTCGATATAGAAGGTCGACGAACAAGTAAAACTTATCGCTCAACGGAGTAAGGATGCAGCAAAACGACCAGATCAAACAAAGTCAAGTAAGTCGAATTAAATAATGAAAAGCTTATCCATAATATCAGTGATTCTCATGATATCATTACAAACTACTACAAAGGAAAACTGTAAATGGATAACTGGTATTCCATTCAATATTCCAAGAAAATGGAATTATAAAGAGATCACAGAACAAAACTTGACATCAAGTGCCACATACGTGCGAATATCTGCAACGGGATGCCGTGACATTTATAACAACAGTATGTAACAAAGTATTCCTTATATTATCATCCATTGTTTCCGATCAAACAACTATTTCGGCTGCATTTTCTCATTTCTGCAGAACTTTAGATGATCAAAAGGAAAACGAATGATGAAGTCCCCTTATATTGCTTGACACGGCTGCAAGAAGTTTGATAAAGGTTTATTAATGACGGTGATAGATTTGTTAATCGTATGTTATTAACGAATATGGAAAATACAGGGACGATTGAGTTTCTTATTGGCGTAAGGGAGAAATTGTTCTAGTTAATGGACTAGAAGTTCCACCTGGTATATGGAAAATACCAGAGACTAAGCATATTAATACGAATAAAGACGGTGAGGTAAGGAGCGTTCCGATAGAGACACCTTATGGGAAACTTTTGAATCAACCAATAAATCTGTTGTACCCTTTCGAAGTTAATGATGAAGAAAATCCTCTCGATATCAATGATGAAATACAGGGATTCAACCGAACTATCAGGAGATCGATAAATCCAAAGATTCTATAGCGCTACGAACTAGAACTGCAACAAAACAACAATCCCGAATTCTTCCTCCAGAGATATAATTTTCTTTCATCGGGGATGTCGAAAAACCCGAGGAAATCTACAATATATTGAAACGAAATATGTGTATTACAAAAAAAAAAAAAAAAAACGGTAGCATATATATATATATATAT